AAGGCTGTAAACCTTTATGGAAGCAGACTGCCACATCTCTCTCCTGTGGAGTGGTGGCTAGTAAGTTTGAACCATCAACCTTTCAGTTAGCAGCTAAGGCACCAGGGTTCCTCCCAATGCCTGTTTCAGACAGGTGTTAATTCTAAGATTGAAGATGGGGGGAGGGGCCGGTACTAAGAATGAATTCGTGAATGTTGTTGGTACAAAGCCCAGCATTAACAAAAGTGTCTTAGGCTACAAAGGAGCGAAAAGGTTAAGAGACTATTTGGAATCAGTTTTCATGACGTGTTGGCCATTGTTTTGACCAGGAAATAAAAACAGGGGAGGCTAGTTGGGGTCCTCTCTTAGAGAGGACAGTGAATGCCAGCTGGCAGAGTCTGCAGGTGGAGACCAATCATTCAACAGTTATCTATTTAGCACATTTCTGCTAGCAGCCATGGATACACTTCAGAGAGCTTATAGTTTGATGGGGAGAGCCAACATAAAATCACACAACTGGTATCACAAGACATTTATTTGCAGATGATGTATGCACTATTCTCCAGGTCAGAAGACAGATCTGAGCTGTTCTCATCCATTTCTAACACTCAGCTCACATCTGACCCTGCCCAGACCTGGAGCAAAGAATTTTAGCCAGTATCTCTACAACCAAATATTCAGGGGCATGCCACCGGCAACAGAGGTATGTCCTCTACTCTCCTCTGGTCCAGGACATTCACTATTAACATCTCCTCCCTTCCCTTCCCTTCCCCTAGGCAAGCAAGGGCTGGTAGGGAAAATCTCATGACCTTGGGCTTGATGCCCCTCGAAATCCATGGCCTTGAACTTAATGGGGGCCCTAAGCCTGCTCAACCAAAGACATTCCCTCCATCACCATTCTCTAGCCCCTCAGTCCAGATATTGGTCATCTTACCCTTCTTAAAATTCGAGTTTCTGCAAAGGCATTCTAAATTTTCTGTAGAGTTCCCAGAAATGTGTGACACTTCTACTACTGAATTTACATCATCATCAAATACTTCAATCTAAGTGTTTGAATACTGGGGTTCCTCCAGTTCACCTTCAGCTGTAAATCTTCATCTTTAAAGCTTTGGAGCTCAGAGGTTGTTGGGGAAATAACACAAGGGGAAGTGTGGACCTATGTCCACACCTCTTCTCTAATGCACTAGACACTAAATACAGAGATCAGATATCCCTGACAGCATTTTAATCATCAAGCTTGCTGCTAACTTTTCTGCCTTCTTTCTACTTAGCAGCCACACAATGAGGCTTCTTCTGATAACAGTAATTCCCTTCTCCGGGGCTCTGGACTGCATTTTCTCCCACATCAGACGCTAATGGTTACTCGCTTCCTCATCTCTGTATTAACATGTCCACGTTGGCCCAATCTTGAAATAAAACAGAACCCCCTTTCACTTGATCTCCCCTACCCTCTAACCACTGCCTTCCCTTTACATTCAGAGGAGCCTCTGAAACAGTGTGGTTACCCCTACTGCTTCCTCTGCATATACTCCCAAACGATTTGCTTCTTATGTGTTACCCGTGCTGTGAAGGGTCTCCATCTATGGTAACATTCCAGTCAGATTTCTGGAGTCACCCTAGCTACTCCCCAGTGGTCCCACTCTACCTCCCAAACCTCTCTTTTCAGCCCTGGCCTCATTACTACTGCCCTCCTCAGCTCTCTGGGTGGCTAATGAGCCAGACTGTTCTCCCTGTCTCCAGTCTCACACTTTATTTCTAAATCATAAATGTGACCATGCTATTTTTTTGGTTTATGTCCCTTCCCACACTCAAAGGATAACATTTAAAATACTTCATGAAAAGCAACACCCTCCCCTGCCTTCCAAAAAGTGTCACAAGTTGTATAAGACACTGCTCATCACTCTACATGAACCTGATTCCGGCCAGCTGAGCCGCTTCCTTTTGCCCTGATGTACCCGCCTCATACTGTTAGGCAGACAGGAACAAAACACGTTTCCTTTAACAACTCACTTCATGCATCACAGTCACCACACATTTCTCCCTCCTGAATCCCCAGGGGGAATGATTCCTTCTTGTGTGGCTATTACTTATTTCCTGTACAAGCTTATGGCTCAGTACCCCTTGTCCCCTGCAGGTGTTCTTTGCACATCTGTAAGCTCGGCACAGAAATTCACAGGCCCTGAAGACAACTGGGCTTGCCATCACTGGGATGCAGAAGGCTAGAGAGGAAGTTCTGAAACCCAAGGAGTTATCCATCCCATGGGAATAAAAACAGACTTATTGTAAGACATTCATTAGATGGAAAATAAAGGTGAAGTTTAAAACATTAGGTCTCTCTGGAGAAGTTACAAATAAAAGAAAGGGGGAAAACCAGAATACACCCTATGGGGCTAGACTGGAAGTATCAGTGTGAATTCGTTCTTTAAAATATCCATCTCTTTGTTATCTATCTCCATTTCTTAGTAGAGAAAACTCAATGTAAAACATGACACTGTACCAGGATAAACTATAAAGGGCAGTACTGGGACAACTGGCAACATTTAAATACAGACCATGGGTTGGTTAACAGTATTACAGCAATGTTAGTATTTTTTACTTTGCTAGCATGTTCTTTTTTTTTGAGAAATGACAGAAAAGCTTTACTGAACTGCAAAAGACTTAGGGGGCTCTTGATTTACTCTATCTAGAGGTATAGTTTGTGAAGTTAGTTAACTGTACTTTATACGATGCTGTAGGAGCAGCACTGGCCTGTGAACCACAATGTTGGCAGTTCAAACCCACCAATTGCTCCCTGGAAACCCTATAGAAGGTCACTATGAGTCAGGATCGACTCTCTGGCACTTAACAACCATAGTGATGACAGACGAATCAGTCTTGGAAGAAGTACAGCGATACTGCTCCTTAGAAACAAGCATGGCATGTTCTTGTACTTTGGAGACGTTATCAAGAGGGACCAGTCCCTGGAAAAGGACATCATGTTTGGTAAAGTGGAGGGTCCATGAAAAGGATGAAGGCCCCCGCAATAAGTTGGATTGACAGAGTGGCAGCAGCAATGTGCACAAACATACCAATTGTTAGGATGGTGCAGGACAGGACTAAGCAGTGTTTCTGTTGTGAATAGGGTCACTTGAGTCGAAACCAACAACAACATAGTGAGAACGTTTAAGAATATCCTTGTCTTTAAGAAAATGCATATTGAGGGTTGGGGATAAAGGGGCACAATATCTGCAAGTTACTCTCAAATTACTTTGAAAATATAACATGCAAATAAAGAGAAAGCAAACAGGGTAAAGGATAAACAATTGGTAAATCTAGGTAAAGGATGTATGTAAGTTCTGAGTAATATTCTTGCAACTTTTCTATATTTGAAATTGTATTAAAATTACAAAATTTACAGATTTACAAAAATATGCAGAATTCAACAGGGATGATTTAGAATTATGGTACAAGTCACTGCATGGAATCTTAAGTTTTTATAGCCTTAAAAATAAAGCTTGTGAGAATAAGGATTATAACACATACAATATAGACGATGAAAGTAGGGTACAAACTATTTTGTATGTAACATGACAACTATGCAAAAGCAAGCATATAAAAGAAATTAGAAGGATTCGATCAAAGGTGACGAGATACTGGGGAGGCATAGAAGACACTTGAGAGACTTTTTCCAAAAAACTCAACCTGTTGAATAAAATACTTGAGCATTAGCACATCCCTGGTGTCAGGATAGTGTTGTGGATGTAAAGACCCTTTTCTGCATTCTCCTGCCTCTGGGCTGTCTCTCCCTAAATCTTAATCACCTGCCAAAGATAAGTGACGGAATACGTTCTGGAGCAACCTGGAACAGGGCACTTCTGAGTGGGTGTAGAGTCTGATGGGAGGACTGGGCGTGGCATGATTCTCATGGAATGCAGTCACCAAGACTGCCTGATGACCCAGAGTCCACTCTCACCAGTGCAGCTCAAGTAGTCGTGGACCACAGCAGAGGGGAAGCCCAGTAATGACTGACCTGAAACGCAAACTTCCCCTGCCCAGATCAGCTAAGAGTGCTAAGCTTGCTAATACGCTCCCATTTGAGCACAGACAGTAATGCTTCTCTGAACTGTAAAAGGTGTAGGGGCTGCTGGATGACACCATCTGGAAGCATAGTGCCTGGCTGGCTCTTGTTGTCTGTAGGGATAACACATTAAGTTCTCATCAGCCCTTTACAACTCAATATGAATAAGCATACTGAGGACATGCTTATTGAGGTCCAGAACACAAAACTTTGCTAACAGAAGGTAAGACTCAGACAGTCCCGGGCAGCTTAGGGAGTCAAGGTAGGCCTAGAAGAGGGTCTGCTTCCTTTGCAGAATAGGTTTTGCCCATCTTATTATAAGAGACATTATTATGACTCCTTCCCTAAAAAAAGCTGGGATAACAACTATAAAAAGAAACCCTCAGAACAGACAGTTGAGGTAGGCAGAGAAAAAGAAACCCCAGTTCCACAAGGAGGCAGCAGCAAAAACTTGACAGCTCCTTTGGAGAGAAACTTAACTATTCCTGGGCAACTTCTTGGCTAAGAGTATTCCAGACCTGCTTCCCACAAATGCTCCCCAGCCTAAAGCAAAAAGCACCACCATTCTGAGTCATGTGACCTGATTTGAAAACATTTTATTACATAATCTTCTCATGGCACCATCAGGAGTAACAAAAAACGTTATTCCCAGTTTCTAAACCACATCCTGAAAAATATACATTTGTATTTATATATTTATACCAATACTCCACTCCGATTCCGTAATTCCACCACCTATTGTAGGTCTTTGCTTAAAGCAGGAAACTATTCTCTTAGGTAAGAAAATATATATAGAAGCTAAATAAAATACAGTTAGTAGGTGGGGATAGCTTGGTTGGAAAGGCAGGGAGGAAAGGTTTAAATCCAGGCTAGGAAGGATGCATCACTGGGTCCATCAGGAGTGGAGAAGGACTGTGTATAAAAAGGCAGCGTCAGGCAGGTGGGCTCTGGTGTCCTGGATCCATTAAGAGATGGCCTTTGCCTCAGGGAGGAAGGCTTCCCAGTACTTTGCCAGCTGCAAAGAGGTGGGAATAGTAAGCAAGTGCCTCCATCTAGTGGCAGAACCTGAGCTTTGGTAGTTCCCAAGTGCCTCAGTCACCCAAAGAAGCTGAAGCAGAGCTCAGGAAACTACTCAACTGAGAATGGGTCCTGGGGCAGATTGGCCAGCCAGCTACACTGCCCTCAGCCCTTCCCAGAATGACAGAAGCATCATTCCTGAGCCCCAAGTGCAAGGGGAATCTCTAAAGACAGCCTGGGTTCTGCCCCACAAGGACCCCTGTGGCGACCAGAGCTTTGTCCAGTTCAATTAGCTTCTCACAATGTGGACAACTGTTCCACATACTGATTGGAGTTGTGACCTTAAGGTTAGATTGTACCACAGTGTGGTCATTTAAAGGATAAGGGGTTACAGAGAAGAGAGAGAAAAGGTTTGCCCTCAAAAGCTAGTTGAAGGATTTGGACAGCAGAGCTGGGTCTTCAAAGGTCCTCTTGGATGGTCCATCATAGAACAACAGGGCCTATTTTAAATTACTGACACTAGCAGGGCCTAGCCCCTCAGAAGCAGAACTAGTGCACCCCATCACCAAAGCCCCAAGTAGGCAGCTGGCCTCTGGAGCAGGTAGCAGACAAAGGTCATACATATGTACATACCTGCTGCTGTGAATACAGAAGTGTCTCCAGGTACTTGATCACGTGGTTTTTGAAGTCCTTGGATTTCTCTTTCTATAGGAAATAGGATTCTACATTGACCTACTGTTTAATGCCTGGTGTGGTGCAGTGGGTTCATGGCTGGACTACAAAGTTGGTTGAACTGCAAGGTTGGTGGTTCAAGCTCTCCAGCTGCTCCTTGGAAAGCCTATACAGGGTTGCTATTGGTCAGAATTGACTCGACAGCATTTAACAACAAGGCCAAGCACACAGGATCCAAAAGGAGAACTAGCAGTTGGAATGGCCTCAATTTCCAGCCTCTGCCAAGGCGAGGGGGTTGGGGGAAGTGCAGCGCATGTGAGAAAGGATAAAGGACTGGTGGGTAAATGGCAGCTGCAAGCTTTGTTTTCTAACTGCTCTGTCTAGCAACAAGTGCAGCAGTCACTGCCTTAGGCATGCACACACGCAGAGGGAAGGTCTCCTCTGTTCACAAAGACAGCCAAGTGACTGGCACCTCTACCTGTCGCTCTACTCAATATAACTGGATAAAATTAACAATATTATTAAAACAGTGAATGCACACTGAGAAATAGGATCTTCTATCTCACCTCAAATCGTATCACTTCTTTCCGAACCACTGTTGAAATCCTTTCAAAGTCTCTTTCATACTGAGCTACCCGAGACTCCCACTGGGAAGAAAGAGGAAAGAAAAGATCACTTAATATTATGGAATCGCCATTAAGCCTTTGTATTTGCATATCAACTGTACACATGAGAGACCAAGTGATCATTATGCCCATCTGTCCCTGTGGGTAAGATCAGGTATCATAAGAGGATTCAGCACATAAATCAGAATCCAACAAAAGGTCACTTTAGGGGCTGGGGCAGAAAGAGGCCCCAGGAAACTTAATTTAGTTCTTACCAGGGGGGCATATCTGAATTAGGTAGGGAGCTTTTCAAAACGACAAAGCCAGGACTCCAGCTCCAGAGGTTCTGATTTGGCAAGTCGGGAGGTGGGGGTGGGGGAGTGAGGAGGGCCAGGCCTCAAAGCTGGCCTGGAGTCATTCTCAGAGGCCTTGTGGGTAGCCACTGCCCTGTAGGCCAGTAAGCCCTTTACCAGCTTTGGGCTTCTGAGCATCTGGGTGGGAAGGAAAGCTGGCAGAATACCCATGCTGGACTGTCTTGGGGGACTCACCTCTGTAATCTCATCCTTGGCCAGCTGCAGCTTGTCAGGCTTGTTGGCCCACAGCAGCCGGGCTTCAGCCTCCCGCTTCTTCTGCAGTATGGCTTGAGCATCCTGCCAACGTTGCCATGTCTTCATGCGCTGGTCAAAAGCAGCCTGTGGAGAGGTGAAGGTAGGGAGCACAAACCAGCCGTTCAGCACCTCCGCTGGCTCTGCCCCAAAGGAGGCTCTCCCAACTGCTGTGCCAAGGAAGGACTGAGCAAGGGCAGGTTCTGCAGCCACATGTTACTGCCCAGCTGGGAGGTTTAATGTCTAAAAGCACAAGCTTGGGTAAGACTCCTCTCCAAGCCTCCAGTGGGCCAGTGCCATGCTGCTTCATGCTGTTCCCAGAGCTGGGTGGCTGGGAGCACAGGAGGTGGCCTGATGCTAGTGCCTCAAACTATGGCTTCTGAACTGCCTCCCTCGGCTCAGTCAGTCCATGAGTCTACACTTTTCCTGAGTATCTGCCATGCATAGGAGCTAAGAACAGAATGGGGAATGAAATATACATGGTCCTTATAATTTAACAGAAGAGGTCAACATTATATCAACAGTTACTAATACATAATCACAGGTGTGCAGTACTGAGCAAACAGGACTTCGCCTAGGAAATACCTAGGAAAGCCAACTGAGAAAACCATCCAAATAGTATACAGGGTTAGCTTAACAGATCTGTAGATAAACTCTTAAAATACTATAGAAACACTTTACTTTCATCCCAACCATAGCCTCAATTGCCCTAGACTACAACAAGACCCCAAGAAGCATCCCAAAGTCTACTTGCTGGGTTTCCCTGTTTCCAGCCCCTTGATCACAATCAACATTTCCAGGGAGGGCAGTTGTTGGACTACGGACCCCTAACCCCATTTTCTTTGATCCATGCTACCTCCTGAAGCACACAAAGCTGTGTGCCTGGGGCTAACTCCCAGCTCTGCTCCATCTGTTCCCCTTCCCTGCAAAAGTTCTCTGTACACTTTCTAGGTTTTCTTAGTGCAGGCCCTTGTCAAAACTTGAACCTTAGGGAGTGCAATGCCACTAAACTCAAGTTCCCCGGATTGCAGCAATTTTTTTACACCTCCATGTGAAAAGATTAGGTAAGGGTGACCTCATTTCCAACTAAGACTGAACCCTAACCAACTGGGCCAACAGTGGTCCAGCTCCAGGGTCAATGGAGAGCAGAAAAGATCTACGCATCTCTCCAATCCCACCACCAGCTCAAGTCATGAGGGCAGGTGGCAGGTCTCTGAGAAAAGGCCAGCTTGCAGCTCTATGCTGGCCTCCCCCTCAGCCCCATACAGATAGGCTCACCCTAACTCTGGGGGATCTTATCCAAACAGTGCTCCTCTCTGAAAGTTTCCCTTAGCAGTGCCCCTCCAGTCAAAGCAGTCTAACCAGTTCTAAGAATTTCACTGTTGGTATTTTTCAAGCTTCTTATCACTCTGGAGTTAGCAGCAAATCAAACAGCAATGGGAAAGAACTACGCGCAATCTCACAGACTACAGTAAGTAGCTTCCCCGTGGAGGAAACGAGAGCCCTGGGAGCAGCTAAGCTCCCAACACAATGCAGGAGCTCCCTGAAGGGGATATACTGCTAGGTAGGTAGGGGATAGTCCACACATCTTGGTACCAAGCCAAATCAGATGCAGACCCAGACCCTTATAGGGCAGGTGCCAGGTTCCTTCGTGGCTCTTTTCTGTCTTAGGAAGGCCATGCGAGAGCTAATACCACTACCCAGTCAAGCGTTCTTGGCTGCCCTGAGAGGTCATGGGAAACCAGACCACCCTGATTACAAGGTAAAAAGGTGAGGTGCTTGACCTGAAGGGGCAGGCTGCAATTCTGTTACCAATGTGGTCAGCACAGCACATGAAGGGCTCTGGTGACAAAGCTCTCTCAGCCCCCTGGCCACGCTCCTCCATGCAATGCCAAGCCCGTTCCGTGTAGTTACCTGACTGCCCACATTGGAGAGACAAGTGGAAGCCAGCAAGAGCTCTTACCAGGGCAAAGCCGCCGCTTACTGTTAAGGAGGCAAAGACCAAAGGACTGAGGAAGTCACTGCTCCCGGGACCAAATCAGCAGCTCTGTAATAAGCCTTGCTTGAAGAAAGGAGCATAGAGTACAACATCCAGCTTCAACAATAAAGGGAATCTACTTGGACATTCAGAGTGGTCTTTCCTCCCATCACATCTATGAAATTGGCTGTGGGACTCAAAATGACGCAGTAACAACTAGCTAAAGTTAAATGTATTGCTGGTTTACTCCTTTTAAGAGCACAAGACATTATACCTGTTTACAAGCTGTAATAAGATGAAACTTTCTTGTTTGGGGGAGAACAAATGAAAGATAAATCAAGGGGAGGAGGAAGGGGCAAGGAAACAGAAGCTTACACGGACTATGGCCAGCAGGCGAATGTAGTCACTCAGCAGCTCAGCGAGGAGGAAGAAGTCATTGTTGGCCTGTTCCTGGTGGAGCTGCTCAATTTTCTCTTCCACCTCAGCCAGCTGGGAGAGTGCCCGTGACAATGCTGTGTTGTCCTCAGAACTTCCAAGCATGGCTAGACTCTTTGCAAACTGGGCAGTGTTCAGCGCTAGCTCTGGAAGGAAAGACAGCAGAGGCTCCTCTGATCTCACAAGGAAAAGGACAAGTCAGCTGGCACTGCATGTCACATCTAGAAATGCTCCCTTTAGCAATGCCAGGTTCTGCAACCAGTCCCTTTTACCACAGTCAAATGTATTCAGAAGGGAAATGCAGCCTGCTCATAGGGAGCAACATTGAGAGGCATGTGTCTTTTAAGTTTCACTAAGGTAGGCCTACCTGGAAGAAACTTCTCCAGCATTCCTTAACCCAGGGCAAAAGGAATGATTCTTATTTTTACGATTAAGCCCATGATCTGTTTGAGAGAGCAAATGTGTACACTGCATAGTCTTGCATGTCCTAGAGAAGGGCTTGGCAAACTTTTTCTGTAAAGGACTAGACAGTAAATATTTAGCTTTTGTGGGCCACATTTCCACCCACATAACCCATACATTGGCCTCATGCTACTGATTTTCTGCCAGTTTAGAGTTCTGATTATTAGCATATTTAAGGCAGAAAAGGAAAGCATTTAAACATGGCAAACTTCATTAGCTTTTAAGCAAATTATCACTAAGGACAGGTGAAAAGGGTTAAGAGATACAAGGTTCCCGACATTTACATAGTGCTGGATTGACCAAGTAGCTAAGGCATAGGTGATGTCTTTTTGAAATGTAAGCCACCAACTCAAAACATATTAACACGTACCAACTACCCATGTACCAGGTCATGCTGTGTCTGGATGGCTTCTCTGAACCCTTTCCAGCTATAAGAGTGTGATGCCCACACTAGAAGAAGTTGTTTCCTGCCAGGAAATGCAGGGCATATCTTTTTGATCAGAACACCAAGGACCAGGTGGGCTGAGAATTTCAACTTGAATGATTAAGACTGGGGAACAGTATGCTCTTCTGTCTCCAGTTCACTGGAGACATGCAACAATATCCCCCGCTCCAAGTATTTCAGAGGCTGTTACCTTTCCTATGGTTGACTAGAGTCTCTACAACAGCATGCAGTTTCCGTAAGCGCTGCTCCTCACATTCTACCTCCTGGAGCTTCTCCTCAAACCACTGAAACACACAAGCCCAGAGCTTTAGTGGACATTACTCCCATGGATTCAGAGCTCAGTTTTTACCTCACACAAAAAAAGAGTAAATTATTTTTTTTAAAAAGTCTCTACTCTCAGAACTCCTGAGGGTTTCTGACCCATAAGCCTGAGGGTGTAGGAAGTTCTAAGAGGCAGGAAGTTACTCACAATGTCTGATTCATTCATCTTGATAGTCATTTTGCTGACTGCGTCTGTGGCTCTGTTGAACATCTTGAGGAGACCAGCACCACTCAACGTCTGGGTGCCCACAGCACGGGGCAGCTGTAAGACCAAGAAGGCAGGATGGCAAGTTATCTGCTGCCCCTATTTTAGGTTTAGAAGAGTTAGTATCCATCAGATGGCACACCCACAACTTGCCAAAGAAATTATTTGAACTGAAGATTGCTTTCAAAGAAATTAAAAAAAAAAAAAAAGCTAAGAATCAGCACATTTTTTCAGTTAATATTGTTCACAAAGAAAGTTTAGATTGTTAAGTAGCTAATTGACCTTATGTTGAGATTTTCTGCCCACTTAGGCATGAGCTGCTAAAATACCAAACTTTTGTTAAAAACCAAAAGGGATGCTGAAGAGTCTATGTAGCAATCATGGTAAAAACTGGACTTAAGTGCTCTGGACTCGAGGGCAGTGGTTCTCAACTGGGGACCATTTTACCTGCCAGGGGACATTTGATAATACAAACTCACCAGCTGCTCTTCAGGGTCGCTGAGTCGGAACCAATTCAACAGCACTTAACAACAACAGACATTTTTGGTTGTTACAGCTGGGGAGGAGATACCACTAGAATCTAGTAGGTAAAGATGTTAAACATCTACAATGCATATGAGAAAACCCCACAACCACAACAAAAATGCTATCTGGCCCAAAATGTTTGTATACAAAATGACACTGTATACAAACATTGCTCTGAGGCTATGAGGCAGACGTGAAGGGGTACAAAAGAAGAATGGATTTAGAGATGCCCAGAGGATGAATGAAAAGATTTAAAGCTGACAAAGCATTTTTAATTTATTAATTTTCATTTTGGATGGGAAAAAAAACCTCATATACTTATGCTATTTTATTTATTAAAGAAATCTATGTTGTTATTGTTAGGTGCCATCAAATCCATTCTGATCCACAGTACCCTGGGTACATCAGAATGAAGCAATGCTTGGTCCTGAGTCTTCCTCACCATTGTTTCTATGTTTCAGCCCTTTGTTGCAGCCACTGTGTCAATATATGTACTATGTACAAATTAAAGGAAAATAGAACACTGACAAAATGATAGTCCTGCTCTGTCACTTATTTCCTTTGAATTTTCTTTACTTTTAGATAAAACAGTTTTGTTTCTTTTGATCCTTAGTGATGTCTGTGTTTCTACATCTACAACTGCATCCATATGATTTCTTATTTTGCTTTTTATAAGTCTTTTAATATATGCTTCCAAGTACAATAATTTCTATATACTTTCTGGTTTTGGTGAGAATAAGATGTTATATTAATATATTTTACTTATATCCTCAATTGTTAGCAATTGGGTTGACTCCAATATTTCATGAACATGAATAGTCAATAACAGCCTGTGAAAAATTGTCCACGTTAACAAGCACTTTTGCTACATTCCACTGCTATGTTGTTGTTAGGTGTTTTGAGTTGGTTCCAACTCACAGCAACTCTACATGCAACAAAACGAAACACCACCTTTTCCTGTGTGATCTTCACAACTATTAGTTTGAGTCCATTATTGTTGCCATTTTATCAAGTGCACTTCATCGGTGGGCTTCCTCTTTTTCTTTGACCCTCCACTTTACCAAACAAATTTTCTCCAAAGAACGGCCTTCTTGACAAAATGTCTTAAGTATGAGACAAAGTCTTGCCATTGTTGCTTCTAAGGAACAATTCAGATGTAATTCTTCCAAAACAGAATTGTTCATTCTTCTGCCATCCACAGTACTTTCAATATTTCATACTGAAGACTATAGTCTTTGATCTTCACCAGTAAGTATTTCAAGTCCTCTTCACAAGCAAGATTATCTAATCTTCATATTGAAGATTGTTGATGAATCTTCCTCAAATCCTGATACCATGTTCTTCATATAATTCAGCTTCTTGGAGTAGTTGCTCAGCAAACAGATTGACTAAATATGGTGAGAGGATACAATCCTGGTGCACACCTTTCTGATTTTAACCCATTTAGTATCCCTTTGTTCTGTTAGAACTACTGCCTCTTAGTTTATGTACAGGTTCCTCAGGAGCAAAATTAAGTGTTCTAGAATTCCCATTCTTTGCAGTGTTACCTAGTTTGTTATGATCCACACAGTTGAATGCCTTTGCATAGTCAATAAAACACAAATAAACATCTTTCTGGTATTCTCTGCTTTCAGTCAAGATCCTTCTGATGTCAGTAATGATATCCCAAGAGGATGTGGACATCCTCTTCTGAATCTAGCTTTCTGGCAGTTCCGTAGATGTATTCCTACAACTGATTTTGAATTTTTAGCAAAATTTTACTTGTACGTGATATCAGTGATATTGTTAGATGATTCCACACCACCTTTCTTTGGAATGAGGTACAATTATGATCTCTTCCTATCGGTTGGCCAGGCAGCTGTCTTCTAGCCATAGTCTGTGGTAATTAGTTTTTAACCAATGTCCTTCACTCCGGGCACAAATATAGGTAACGTGAGTCAAGCAGTAATCTAACAAAGACATGCCAAGGACTTGCTAAATGGATCACTGTGTTGACTCCAGTAAGACAAAGCTAGGTCGCAATCTGACCTCTACAATATGTTTTTTTACTTCCTTTTTTGGCAAGGAGCTTCTTTCATTTCAAAGGCTGAAAAAATAGTTGTTACTCTTGGCAAAGCTCATGAACTAGAATATCATCTGGTAATAGGCTATAATCATATTACGTGCTCAAATATTTGTTGCGTGAACTAGTTTCATTTCACTAAGAGCAAAGAAATATTATGAAATTTAGTTTTAGTGTAATACCAACCTCTTCTTTTTCCAAAAACTCTCTGACATCAGGGTCCTGTAGCATGGTAGGATGATTCACAATCCTTTGAAGGTACCTGAAGGGGAAGCAGTTGTCATCTGGCTAGTCAATCTGGCTTCAGAAGGTTTTGAGTATCAGACAGTTCTGGTGGGGACACTATGTTTTTCATTACTTTAAAATGTCCTCAGGAGTGCAACAGTTAAAGGTAACCAAGGTAAATACTATTATACACATAATCCGGTATAGGAGCCCTGGTAGCATAGTGGATTATGAGTTGGGCTGTTAACTGCAAGGTCAGCAGTTTGAATCTACCAGTTGCTCCATGGAAGAAAGATGAGGCTTTCTGCTGCTGTAAAGATTTATAGGCGTGGAAACCCTTTATAGGGTCATGATGAGTCAGAACCGACTCCATGACACATCACCAACCAACCACCAACACACTCCTGAAATAACAGTGATCTGGGGTAGAGAATATGGATAGACCTGCAGGTTGAATGGGATGTGGGAGGGAGAGTGGGAGTATACTCATAAATATATATAAGCGTGAGAAGGGATTTTTGCACATGGCTGCAAACATAGCCATCAATGTGGTGAAACATATAGGGGCAAAGCTAGGAAAACTTCTTAAGCCATTACCAAACACCATAAGCAAATGAATTGTGGACCTGGGGGCTCAAGACCATAGTTTCCAAGGACACTAAGAGTCAACTGGCATAACTTAGCCCACATAGACAGTGTTCTTTATCCTATGTTGATGAATAGCCATAGGATCTTAAAAGCTCACGAATGTCCATCTAAGATACAATTACTAGTCTCTCCCTGTCCAGAGGAAAGAAGAGTGATGAAAATTGAACTTGCTTGGAAACCATTAATCCAGTGGACTAATGGAGTACAAGAACATCAGTCTCCAGGATCTTGACACCTGAAGAACAGATTGTGCATAGCTACCATTATGGATAGAGTGGGAGAATATATGGAACAAAACTTGAAATCAAAAAAGGTCATGCTTACTGGTCAGATAGATTGGTAGAAGTGAGATTACAACTCTTGGTCACTCTTTAGCTCTGGAACTTTACTCACCCAGGTGGTTCAATGCTCAGCTAAGCAACAGATAGGTACATGTGGGGGGACATTCAGAGAAGGGGCAACAACACTAGTGAGGAACACAAACCATAAACTGGTCAATTATCTAGAGGAAACAATCTAGAGGTCCACCAATTTGAGATAAACAGGGCAGCATCTACCCAAGGACACAATTCAGAAAGTTTGGGAAAGAAAGGAATGGAAATAAAAACCACAGGAGGAAGTGGGATAAGTGAGGTTACATTAAGGGGATTGTAATCACTGAGATGGAAAAAGTGTAGGATTTGTTGAATGTAAAATTGATGATCTGCTCTGTAAAACTTTACTCGATTCACAATAAATAAAAAGATAAGGTACTTAATTAAGAAAGACTCTGGAGCCACATTCAGGTTCATGTTCTCCACATTTCCCAAAGGGGATAGAAAAATAACGGATCAGAGGGAGACCAGAGAGTAATTCATATCTGATTGTCTAAGAAGGAGAATGTAAGTGTCTGCTCACTGAAGATAAAGGAAAAACAGACAGATGATCTGTTCCTAAGGTGGGAAGGTTAAGTGACTTAGAAAAGAGGTAGGAGAGCTGCATCTCCAGTAACTTGAGTGTCTTAAAATGAAGTCTCAGCTCCTCATCTGCTCTTACGTCATTCAGAGAAATGGCTACAGTTCAGGACACTTAACCTTTCTAGAGCAGCCCTTCGTTTTTCAAGAAATTCTGCAGAAGAAGAATCTTCTTTCCCAACTTTCACTTTTGTCATTCCTGGAATGAAATGGAAAAAAAAAGTAAAAATAACCATGAAAATGTTATTAAAAACAATAAGGGCAATACTATAAAACACAATCTACCCTATTAAAAAATGGGTAAAGGACTTAAGTGGGCATTTCATCAAAGATATACAAATGGCTAACAAACACATGAAAAAGTGCTCAACTGCTCAACATTAGTTGTTACTGTTGTGTGCTGTCAAGTTGGTTTTGACTCACTCACAGTGACCCTGTTTATGGTTTCTGATGAATGGCTGATGGGTTTGAACCACTGACCCTGCGGTTAGCAGACCAGTGCTAATCCTATAGCGCTATACCAGGACCCTCATTAGCAATGGTTTTTGTTGTTGTTTAGTGTCATCGAGTCGGTTCCAATTCATAGCAACCTATATAGGATTTCTGAGGAGTGGCTGGTGAATCTGAACTACCAATTTTTCAGTTCAAATTGGCCTTGCAGTCCAGTGCTTTATTCCATAGCACCACACCAGGACTCAATTAGCATTTGGTGGTGGTTGGTGGTTATGTGCTGTGGAGTCGGTTCCCACATCCCGTTCAACCTGCAGGTCTATCCATGTTCTCATAGCGAACCCTGTACAGGGTTTCCGAGGCTGTAAATCTTTACAGGAGCAGAAAGCCTCAACTTTCTCCTGTGGAACAGCTGGTAGTTTGGAACTGCTGACTTTAAGGTTCACAGCCCGATTTGTAACCACTATGCTACCAGAGAAGTGCAAATCAAAACTACAATTAGATACTAATTTCATCATTACTAGGTGTTGCTCTGTGGGTTAATGCACTCGACTGCAAAGTTAATTTGAACTGCAAGGTCTGCCAGTTCAAGTGCACCAGTCGTTCCTCAGAAACCCTAAAGAGGGTCGTTATGAGTCAGAACTGAGTGGATGGCACTTAACAATAATTACAAAGAATGACTATGATTAAAAAGAAAAAAACGTAATGGTAAGGATGTAAACAAATTGAAACTCTTTCTCATCCATTGTTGGTAAACAAAATGGTACAGTTGCTGTGGAAAACAATTTGATGATTCCTCAAAATGTTAAGCAGTTTTATATAACAGAACTATTATATGAATAATTCTACTCCTATGTATATACACAAGAGACTTGAAAGCAAGAATGCAAGCAAAACTTGTATACCAATGTTCATTGCAGCACAATAGCCAAAAGATGGAAACAATCTACAGGTCCACCAACAGATGAATGCATAAAGAAACTGTGGTACATACATACAGTGGAAATAAAAGCATGAAGAGAAATAAAGTCCTGATAGATGCTACAACATGAAAATTCTATGCTGACTGAAAGATGAAAGCAGCCACAAAAAGACAAATACTGTATAACTCCACTTATTTGAAATATCTACACAAGGCAAATAAAAAAAGTTTATTAGTGGTTACCAGACACACAAGGCATTGAGAAAAAGGGAGTTACTGCTTCAGTGATGCTGCGGTTTTGTTAATGGGGATGGAATAATTTGGACTGATAGCAGTGATAATTGTACCACAAGATGACCATAATCTATTTCACTGAATTGTACATGTAAACAAATGTTGAATTGGCAAATGCTTTGTTACACACACACACACACACACACACACACATTTGCTACAATTAAAAACAAAACAAAATCAACAAATCAGATCGTAAGGTCCCTTCTGTCATAAGTGAGCAGGAACATATAACTGAAGGTGATGGAAAGGTCTCCCACCCACCCATACAATTTAGTACACTTCAACCTGGAGGGAACAGCAGTTATTTAAGACTCCTGGATATAAACTAAAAACAAACAAAAGACTCTGGGGCTGAAACCAGAGCTCCCTATTGCATCTGTGGAAAGAGAACATGTCAAACATACTATTTCTCTAGATGTCAAGTAATTTATAGGAAAACACTAGATATATTTCTTTTTCTTTGTCCTAACCACAAGAATTTTGCACTGTTAATAACCTTACCTATTAGACTCTTCTCTGGCGGAGGAGGGACAATGAAGCCATTATGAGAATGTTTCTCCGAAAGCTTCTCATAAAGACCCAGAAAATCACTAAATCTTCTTTTCACAGAAAACTGTTTACTTCTGAACATTGGTAAGCTCGTCTGGGAACAACAACAAAAAAAAACAAAACACAAAACACAAGGCAAATTCAGTCCATATAGGGGATGAATGAGTATCTTGAAAACCATCAGGTTGATATCAAAGGAGTACTTCTCCCAGGTCTCTGCCCTTTAGCTGCTTGTCAAATCACTTTCTCCAAGGCCAAGCTTCTCCAACTTTTTTGAGCTAGTTTCTTTTGATAATCTGGGGAAGCCTATGAAGCCCTTCTCAAAATGATTTTAAATGCATAAAATAAAAATAGATAGGATTTCAAAGATAACCTATTAAATTCAAATACAGTTTTACCTGAACTCTTGCACTAAGAAAAGATGTCGAATTCCACCTTGATACAAGAATTCTTTGGTCACTTATAACTCATTCATCCAGTACTGACCCATTATTAGCAGCTGAAATCAGACCAGGCAAACCAAAGCAAAGACAGTCTAAATAGTGCTTCTAAGGGGAAATCACATGAAATGTCTAATCAACCTCTAAAGTGTCAGTGGAGCTAGAATCAAAGGAAGCAGGCCAATAAGTAGTAGAGAGATAATACCAAGGACACTTCTAGTAAAAAGACTAGGGCTATATCATAATGAGACATCATTGTATATTCATCAGATAGGCATAGCTGAAGAAAGTTGGCCTTACCAAATTTTGGCACGGAAGTGAATCAATAGAAACTTATATGCCAATGAACATATAAATTGGTGCAAATACTTTAGAAAATAGTTTGCATTCCTTATGAATTCCAACATTTGTACTATCTATGACCCAAAGAAACTACTCTTGGTTGTTATATACCCTTGAGAAACTTTTCCATGAGTGTATTAGGAGACATGAGCACAAATGTTCTTAGCTAATAATTACAAAAACTGGAAAGAAGCCAAATGTTCAAAGAAGGAAATGCATAAATACATTTGGTATATTCATACAACCACAAATGCTCACAACATGGATGGGTCTGAGAAAACAATGCCAAGTGAAGAAAATGATCTATCTATCTATACATACACATGT